GCACTCTGTTGTAACCACTTCTCTTGGTGATTCTGATGTACGTTCAAGTTTGAGAACCACTGGCCTAGAAGAAATAACCTTAAAACCCAGCTCTAAAGCTGTTCCAATCAACATGGTAGCCACGGGTCACATGAGCCTTTGAAATGCGGCTGGTCCAAGTTGAGCTGTGCTTTAAGTCTAAAATATCCATAAGGTTTCAAAGACTTACTATGAAAAAAAGAATGTGAAATACCCCATGAAGAATTTTATATAGATCATAGGTCGGAATAACATTTTGAACCTATAAAGTTAAATAAAATATATTATTAAAATTAATTTTATTTATTTATTTTCCCTTTTTAATATGGCTTTTAGAGAAATCTAAAATTAAAGGGGCGCCTGGGTGGCTCAGTCGTTAAGCATCTGCCTTGGGCTCAGGTCATGACCTCAGGGTCCTGGGGTGGAGCCCCACATCAGGCTCCCTGTTCAGGGGTGAGCCTATTCTCCCTCTCCCTCTGTTGCTCCCCCTGCTTATGCTCTCTCTGTTTCTGTCTCTGTCAAATAAATAAATAAAATCTTTTAAAAAAATCTAAAATTACCTATGTGGCTTACAGAATATTTTGATTGGACACAGCTGTTTTTTCTTTTTTAAAGATTTTATTTATTTATTCATGAGAGACAGAGAGAGAGAGAGAGAGAGGCAGAGGGAGAAGCAGGCTCCCCGCTGAGCAGGGAGCCCGATGCGGGACTCGGTGCCAGGACCCTGGGATCATGACCTGAGCTGAAGGCATATGCTTAACCATCTGAGCCACCCAGGCGCCCTGGACACAGCTGTTCTAAAGGATGACTAGAGGTTACCTAAAGCTGGGTGGGACCATGGTGGCTGTGGAGGGGAGGGGAAGCTGGGCAAGGGTTCTGGATAGGGTACAGTGTGTGCAGAGGTCCTGAAGCAAGAAAGAACACGGCATGCTCAAGGAAATAAGAGAAAACCAAAGCCTCGCAGTTCACATTAAGAATTTTGAACTTTATCCTAAGACCAACAGGAAGTGATTGAGGATTTTAAATTAGGGTGCTCACTTTTCAGGACTTTTGCAGCTAATCAGTGAGGGCATGAGAGCTACATCTGACTATAGCAATGCTCTCAGAATCCAAGCTTCTTTCCTCCCCCAAAAGATGGTTGGGGGGTGGAGGCATTTGGTCAGGACCGAGAGGGAGCAGGACCCTACCCATCACCTGCCCGTGCCCTAGGATCCGAGGCACAAACACCCCTGACGAAAGGGAGAAGCAGACACCTGGGAGAGGTAGTTTTGCTTTCAGTTCATTTTCAGCTGGGTTAAAGCTCAGAGCTGGCAGAAGCGTTCCCGGAAGAGTCCAAAGTTGAGTGGAAGTTTGATTACAGAGCTGGGGCTCTGCAGGGAGCTGGCCAAGGGTTTGGCGAAGGAGGGTCAGGAACAAGGAGGCCAGCACGTGTGGAGGTGAGAGAGTGTTGGACAAAGCAGGGGAAGCCAGGATTGGAGCCTGGAGGCTGGGGGTCTGACCATCTCCCAGGGTATGGTGGCCTCTTCCTTCGTCTGTGGCCTGGAAGAGATTCTTTGTAACTCATGGACTCAATCTAGCCTCCAGACATTTCGTTGAGCTCACATCTTTCAAATGTATTTAAATTAGTCAGCAGTATTAATATTAGATGTTACTTAAAAAAATGTGCATTTCTGGGGTTTTTGAAAATTGGAAGATCCAGGAACCCCAGTTCTAATCCTCACAGAGAAATGGGGGAGCTAAGTAGTCACTACTCCTTTTAGTTTTATATGAACTTTTAGGAGCTGAAATGACCATTTTTATGTTCTTATTTTTATTTTTTTTTCATTTTTATGTTTTTTAAAGAAGACTTTTTTTTACCCCAAAGACAAAATTGAGTTCATAGGTCACTGTGGTCTGACTCGAAGTCTTACATTCTCTCCAGTGTTTGCTTTGAGGAGTCCCATCTTCTGTTTGTTCTCCAGAAAGGTTCTAAGAATGGGAGCCTTAGTTCAGTGAGACCAGGTTATACAAAAGCTCTGTCCACTGACAAAGGAATCACGTCCATCAGAGAAGCACGCGTGGTCCCCAAAGTTCTCCACGGTTCCCATCACCCTTGTGACCCAGCATCACTGCTCTTCACCTCAGTCAGGCCCCTGGGACGTGTGAGTTTGCAGCCCCTGCCTGAAACTTTAAATGAGACTGACTGCACTCCGGTGTGTTTGTTGGTAAACACTTGGTATACCAGCTCCCATGGTGATTAAAATCTTAAAGACTGCAAACTCTAAACCTCAACAGCTCCTCTGTACATATTCAGCAGTTAATTAAGTAGGAAGTCAGTTGATAGCAGCAAGGAGGAGAGAAGGAAGTAACTTTGTTTACCCAAGACAGATGCACTGTCTAGTACCTTATCCTGTATTCACCACTGTATGCCAGAGTGAGGGGACGGTGTGTATTTGTGTAGTCTTCTGGCTCTAGTACTGTTTCTCTGCTCCAGTGTATGTATTTGGGGTGGCGGGGGTGGGGCTGGAAACGGAGAAATTGTTCTATTTCTTTTTTTTTTTTAAGATTTTATTTATTTGAGAGAGAGAGAGCACATGAGGGGGGCGGGTCAGAGGGAGAAGCAGACTCTCCGCTGAGTGGGGAGCCCGATGCGGGACTCGATCCTGGAACTCCAGGATCATGACCTGAGCCGAAGGCAGTCGCTTAACCAACTGAGCCACCCAGGCGCCCGAAACTGTTCTATTTCTTAAACAAAGTAAGCAAATAGAGCAGATTCAAATACTGCCAAGCTTTGCAGTTAAGTGCCTGAGTGTTCATGATGTTATTGCTCTCTCTCTATATTTTGTTCTCTTGATATAATTCATAATCAAAGACAAGGGAGAAGTGCTTCTGCCTACAGAATTTGTCCATTATACCCTTTTCCATTTGAAGGGAAAATAGCTTCATTAGCATAAGGAGGCTTCTTGCTTGACAAGACAAAGTAAGTGTTGAGGTGGCTTCTCTTTTCTCCATCCCCCTTCACCAGCAGCAAAAAACAAAACAATAAATGTTACAAGGGGGTGGATCTAGTTTTTGACTCGTCAGAAGCTTCTACTACTTGGTGAATTGGGGCTCTTTAAAAAAGCAATACAAAAATGTCTTTCTTTTGCAAATTAAACACACATGCATACATGCATGCATGCATGTACACACACATGCATGTGCGCACACGTGCGCATGCGCGCACACACACACACACACGTGTGTGCATTCATTATTTGGTTTCTCCCAGTGCCTTAGAAGGAGCTTGTTCAAGGGAGGGAGGCTGAAGCTTGAGCTTCATTAGCTTCATAATTATTCTGCTTCTGGGCACCAGTAATCATGCAGCAAAACGCTGCCCAGATGTCTTTCATCCTGTTCTCTGTTCTTCTGCCACCCCAAAGGACTGCTGAGGGAGGGTAGAGGCATCGCTCTCCCTCCAGAAATTCTCAGCTCTGTGAGCTGCCTTTGCCTGAGCCCTGAGCCCAGTCTCTTCCAGATGCTTTCTGCTTCTTGTGCAGTAAAGCTTCAGACTTGATGCTTGACAAGAAAGGGAAGTCCTAAACCTAATCACCCTCATCTTTCACCTACTTGCAGACTGCCTCAGTCTGCTTCCTCCCTCAGGTCCTCCTCCATTTGCCTTCATCTGAAATAAGATGAAGTTTTCCCCCCCTTCAGAATCTCTAGGAATTATTAAAGAAAGGAAGAAACTCGATACCCAGATTCCAGTTAACTTTGTCACTGATTGTTATGTAACTGTGGGTGAATCACAGGTTAAGTGGGACAGAAAATCTCCAGTGAATGGGGTTGCCAAGAATGGCAGAGGACCAGGCCCTGATGTTCCTATCATTTTTACTCCCCAGTGTGGAAAACCCTGGGGTGGAAATGGAGAGCGCTGGGCCAGGAGAGTGAGCGACATTTGTCAGCGTAAGTACATCTGCTGCAGGGAGAGTGGGGGCAGTCTAAGGCAGCCAGAACTTAGCCAGAACCTAAGGCAGCATACTCTCCAGGGGACAGAGTGGGCCCAGCAGACCTTTGGGCCAGCAGCTTAACTTGGGGAATTCAGAAACACCTGAAGGTTGTCTGTCCCACTCTACCAGATTCTTCGCCTGCTGAGATGTGGCTGGTTTGTGTAGGACAGTTTAAGGTCAGGGAAGAGGAGACAGGGCCTCCTTATCAGCATGCTTCCTCTCACTCCTCCAGACCTGCTCCTGCTAATCTGTTGACACAGGCAGCATCTCTTAGCTGCTTGCAATTGATAGCTTGTGTGGCATACGGATTTATGCCTGCCGAAAGCTCTACCTTGAGGCAGGTGAGATTATTTCGGTGAGTACCACATTCAGTGTTAATGTTGCTTTAAGTCACTTTTAGTGTGAATGTTGCACCTTAGATTTTCTTATAGATCGTTGAGCCTATTGCACTGAAGAGCGAGTTGCCCCCAGTTAGTGATTTATATACCGGATAAATGTGGTGGGTCGTTGAATGAACATGTTTAACTTCCATAATAAAATGAGACTGGTAAATATTTCTCTTTTCACCAGAGGAAAAACAAAGTGAGGAGGATGCCTTCAACCCGGAGTCAGCTGCTAGGAGCTGGGAGTTCCCAGCTACTAGTCATCCTTTTAGACATCTATAACTCATTCCACTAAATCCTCTCTTTTGTAAGCACAGACTGCCTTTTTATCTGGTGGAAATGCAGCGTGCCATTAGAATGACGTGGTCTGTTAGTGTACCTCATAGAATTAACATACTGTCCGGCCGTCAGAAAATTTAAGTCGACGAGGTTCCCTGTAATGAATTATTTGTAGAATATGCCTGTATGTGCCATAATGTATAAGGTGTCTGATGTCTTGATGTCAAATCTGGTCAAAGGAATGCCTCCAATTTAGTTTTAGACACCGACTGTTGGAAAGTTGTGCTTCCATTCCCAGGAGTCAGTTGAATGAAGAATATAACAATATACTTTTTGTTCCTTCTCTTTCTAGATGTATTGCTGTCATTGAATATTGGCCCATTTGAAAGTGCTAGGGAAGCTCAACCATCAGGATGTCCAAGTACAAACTGATTATGTTAAGACATGGAGAGGGCGCTTGGAATAAAGAGAATCGTTTTTGTAGCTGGGTGGATCAGAAACTTAACAGTGAAGGAATGGAGGAAGCTCGGAACTGTGGAAAGCAACTCAAAGCACTAAACTTGGAGTTCGATCTTGTATTCACATCCATCCTGAATCGGTCCATCCACACAGCCTGGCTGATCCTGGAAGAGCTGGGCCAGGAGTGGGTTCCCGTGGAGAGCTCCTGGCGTCTAAATGAACGTCACTATGGAGCTTTGATCGGTCTCAACAGGGAGCAGATGGCTTTGAATCATGGTGAAGAACAAGTGAGGCTCTGGAGAAGAAGCTACAATGTGACTCCACCACCCATTGAGGAATCTCACCCTTTCTACCATGAAATCTATAATGACCGGAGGTATAAAGTGTGTGACGTACCTGTGGATCAGCTGCCCCGATCTGAAAGCTTAAAGGATGTTCTGGAGAGACTCCTTCCCTTTTGGAACGAAAGGATTGCTCCTGAAGTATTAAGTGGCAAAACCGTTCTGATATCTGCTCATGGAAATAGCAGTAGGGCTCTCCTGAAGCATCTGGAAGGTACCATCTTTATGCTACTACTTCGTAGAGGTTGCTGATTGTTATACTTGGGCCTTAATCTAGAAAGGACATGGTTTCTGAGCTAACAATACACAACTGGCATGATAGACTTTCTTTCCCGTTCCTTTTTGCCACTTTAGTCTTTTAAGAATCATTTTGTTCTATAAATGAAAAACCCTGTGCCTTTTACATTCATATTATAGACAGCAGTGATTCTAAAACTTTAGCAAGCATCAGAATTACCTGGAGGGAGAGTTTGATCTACTACAGATTGCTGGCCCCACCCTTGGAGTTTCTAAATTCGTAGGCCTCTGGTGTGGCTGGAGAATTTGCATTTCTAAGACATTTTATGGTAATGCCCATACTGCTGCTTGGGGTTCTCCGCCTTGAGAACCCTTGATCTAAAAGATTATATGGCTTTTGTTGTAGTAAGGGTAAGGGAGGCTAGGAAGGGTATACATTTCTATAGAAATGGTATGCAAAGCCAATTTACTTATTTGGGTCTTTCCAGATAAATAAAATGATCTAGACTTCGGTTTTGCCCATGCTCTTCCAACTTTAAACAGTTATTCCGGTGTTTCAGACCCGGCCTTCTTGAACAATTCCTTTGTTCCAGTCCTCTCTTTCCAGACCAGCCTGAGTCATTGCTTGGGAGAAAGTTAGGGGGACAGAAAAGAAAACGATGGCTTTTTGGAGATAACCGGTTGCCTCCGTTTAACTCAAGCATTTATCTACTTGATGTTGTATTCTTTTTTTTTCTTTTAAAGATTTTATTTATTTATTTGAGAGAGAGAGAGAGAAAGAAACAGCATGAGAGGGGAGAAGGTCAGAGGGAGAAGCAGGCTCCCCACTGAGCCGGGAGCCTGATGTGGGACTCGATCCCAGGACTCCGGGATCCTGACCTGAGCCAAAGGCAGTTGCTTAACCAACTGAGCCACCCAGGCACCCTTGATGTTGTATTCTAAATGTATTCTGAAATGTACACTATTGTTATCTTCCTCTTAAGTAACGTGAACTAAATGACCTCTTGAGGACTCGAGCTCACCAGTTTGGGGCATCAGTGATGGCCCTGTGGCACCTTCAGAGGGTCTCTCCTTCCCCTTTCTCCCTTCACTAAGTAATCCTAAGCAGTTGTGCGTTTTGAGTGATCTGCTCCATCCACTGTTTTCCTGTCTGTTAGCCCTCTCAGCAGTTAGCCCGTGATACTAGAATGCATTTCTCCAACATTCCCTTCCCATTCTGCTTTTCTTTTCTCTAAGAGCCTGTGAGAAATAAAAAGGTTGACATTGCATGTGAAATAAGTGAAAATAGGTTATTGGTAACAAAACAAAGTGATCTTTATGAGATTTTATTGTAAACTTTTTAGCATGTGTTTTTACCCCTGATTTTTATATAACATGGCCAGGAGCCAAATCATTACTCCTATACCTGCATCCATTAGTCGTGCAGAGATCTAAACTCTACAGACTTTATTGGCTATTAAAAATGTTACTGGCTAGACATGGCGCTCAATCTGTTGGTGTATGTTTGTGTATACATCTTATTTACTCAACTATATAAAGGGTTCTATTCTTCCTCTTTCAGAATAGTCAGATACTGGATTAAATGATAAATAACATCATCGTTATTGGACTATAGTACTTTATTGTTTGAAGAAGAGTTGAGCCTTCTCTTAGGACAACGACAAACTGAAATTGAGAATTTCGAAGTTTCTGCCAAAAGATGTTTTCTGTCCCACGACGCCAGTTCCTTTTTTCCAGAGACGGGACTTAGACCTCCTTGTGGACAAGCTCGCTTCCCTAAAGAAAATGCCATCACCTCCTTCAGGATCCTCTTTTCTTCCCTGTCTTAGCTAGGAAATCCTCCCTTTAAAAACGATTTCTTGCTGTTTAATACCATTTATTCTTCAACTGTCTTCAGGTTTAGATGTCTTTAAGATTATTCTGCATCCCCAACCACAGCTCATCTTAGATACCCCCTTCTGTTAGTGCGTCAGTGACTTCACGATTTCTTACTGTTCTTTTTTTGAAGGGAATAGGAGGATTTACAGATGGTGGTGAGGACAACTACCACCGTGGTGGGAGTGGAGGCAGACCTGCCTGTGGAGGGCAAAGTTACCCATAGAAAGCTTACTTTCTGCTTTTGAAGCAGGTTTTGAAACCACTAATAATTTATTTAAAAAAAAAATCATTTGGGATAGCTGCTGTGGAAAACAATCTGGCAGCTTCTCGATAGATTAAACATGCAGTAACCATATGAGCCATCAACTGTACTCCTAGGTATTTACCTGTATTCATTTCCTAGTGCTACTGTGACAAAGTACCAATCACTGCATGGCTTAAAACAACAGATACTAGTTTTCTCACAGTTCTGGGGCCTGGAAGTCCTAAATTAAAGTGTTCGCAGGGTCATATTCTCTCTGAAGTCTCAAGGTGAGAATCCTTTCTTGCCTCTTCTAGCTTCTTGTGTTCGTTGGAAATCTTGGGCATTGCCTGGCTTGTAGATGCATCATTGCTGCCCTCAGTCTTCACTTGGTGTTTTCCCTGTGTGTCTCTCTCTTCCTTGTCCAAATGTTCCCTTTTTGTAAGAACACAAATAATAGTAGAGTAGGGCCAAAGACCTCCTCTTAACTTGATTACCTTGATAAAGACCCTATTTCCAAATAAGGTCACATTCTCAGGTTAGGACTTCAGTGTATCTTTTTGGAGGGACATAGTTCAACCCATAACAGTACTTAAGAGAAAGGAAAACATATGTCCACACGAAAACTTGTACACAAACCTTCATAGCAGTATTATTCATAAGAGCCAAAACATGGGAGCATCCCAAATGCCCATCACGTGGTGACTAGATAAGTTAAATTTGGTATATCCATACAATAGAATATTATTTGGCAATGAAAACAAATGGAATAGTCTTCTGTGCTATAACATGGATGAACTTTGAAATCGTTGTTACCTGAAAGAAGCCAGTCACAAAGGAGCATATATTGTACAATTCTACTTAAATGAAATGTCAGCATAGCCAAGTCTTTAGAGACAGGAAAGATTGTTTCCTAGGCCTGGGGTGGAGGTGGTGGGGGTGTGGATTGAAGAGTGACTGCAGTTAGGTATAGGCTTTCTTGTTGGAGTGGTGAAAATGTGCTAAAATTGAATGTGATGATGGTCACACAAGTCTGAGTATACTAAAAGCCATTAACCTGAATACTTTATGTGGGGAAATGGTATGGTATGGGAATTATCTAATTAAAGCTGCAAAAACAGCTTAATCAATGGGATTGAAAGATGAAAGAATTTGACATTGGCCTAGAAGAAAAATATTTCAGGGCAAATACATGGAAATACTATCAAAGTAGACATGCATGGATGTGGAGTACAGAATAAGGAAAAAATAAAATAAAATACAACTTTGACCGCTAGGGCAGAAGTGGATTTATAGGGATTGCTGAGAAATTAGCAGACATTTGTCCTCAGGCTTTATTTAAACTTTCTTCTGAAGGTCTTTTTTTTTTAACCTTGGATGTATAGAACTAAATTACGTTTCAGAGCTTACTGAAGTTTGAAGCAATCTTAAATTATAATTCCTATTCCTATCACTATAAATAGGCCTTAGACAAAATGTGTTTATTTGGGAGATAGTTTAAAACAGCGGTATTCATGCTGGAAGAGGTAAATAGTACAAGGAGATTCGAGTCGGAAGTATGTGCAAGTGGAAGAGGTGTGGGGTTGGCCCAGGTCTGCAGCAGAGGACGAGGGAGGTGTAGATGAGGGAGACAGGGACTGGAAACGGGACAGTAGGTGACCAGGGAGGATGGCAGACATTCAGGGGGGAAAAATGGCCGAAAGTCCAGAATATGCCATTGGCACAAGCCCACAGGTGGGGAAACAAATGGAGTGGATGGGAAGATTGGGATCTGTCCATAGAAGACATAAGGCTGGTATGTAATCTTGGCTCACCCATCCTGGGTAGGAGAACAACTTTGTTCCTTTTTGGCCTGTAGTACCCCCTGGTGGTGCTGTTGTTAAGATTCACGGAGCTCTTTGATGTCGCTGTGATTTCCTATAATGACTTCCACGCCTAACATGGAAGAAATTATTTCATGTGCATGAAATGGACTAAACTAGATTTTAGGGTCACTTGATAAATTAGTTATCATGTCTTATTTTAGGAGTTCTCTAAGTACCAATCTCCACTAAGAAATTTCTCTTACGGTGTGTACTGAAAAATAAGATGCAAGTATTCTATGTCACGGCTCTAAGAATTAAGTATAAGTTATAAGTGACTTTCCCAAGATCAGAAGAAATCGTGTGTTATTTCTTCCATGTCATTTCTGTTAATGAGATTTTAGGTTTTTTAAAATTTATTCTGGATGTATATGGTCACCGGAATAGGAATCCCAACAGGAGTCCTCTTGCCTCGCATGTCTGACCTTCAGGAGCTCAAGTTATAGGGCTTTATGTGGCACTTCATAAATTTCCAACCTAAAAGAAAACATTCCTTTGAATTTGGATGCTAACTTTTTAAGACTCCAAAATATTAGGTCAATCTCCCTTACTTTAGGGGGAAAAATAGAGATTTTTATCTGATAGTAAGGACTACTTGCAATTTATTTGGGATTATATGTGTTTGGTGTGTTAAAAACATCATAAAATTTACCATCTTAATCGCCAGTTTATTCTTACTGTGAAGTTACATGACTATACATACCACCATTAGCCATTTTCTGGTTAATACCTACTGTCCCAGTGCAATTATTAATAGCCTCTCCTTTCACTTTCAAAAGTGCCCCACTTGAATGATAAATCATGTGGTCATCTTACTATAAAGATGTTAGCCTTCACTAGTATTAAGAATGAATCCTTGGGGCGCCTGGGTGGCTCAGTCGGTTAAGCGTCTGCCTTCAGCTCAGGTCATGATCCCACGGTCCTGGGATCGAGCCCCACATCAGGCTCCCTGCTCAGCAGGAAGCCTGCTTCTCCCTCTCCCACTCCCCCTGCTTG